AATGCCTAAAAAAGGAACCAAATTGTTTATAGATAAAAAGAACATAAAATACATCGCACGTGTAGTTATGTATGCATAAATTTATCTGTTGGTATGCTTTTACAGAGAGGTCGCTTGGCGGTATCGGGAGGGAGCCCGATGTAAACATGAAGGTTTTATCTTGTTGACGCACCCGCGAGATCAACGTACAACGTTGTTAATGTAAAGTACCAGTTGGTAAGAGATTTGTCCGCACTTGAACTGCGTGATGGATGGCTGACACGTGTATTTTTGGAATTCTGATTTCTGAGGGTTAATTATTTTTTGGAAAACTGAGTCGGGATCCCTAATCTTTTCAAAATGACCAAATAGATTATGAACATCTGATTTTTGCCAGCAGCCTTTTTGGAAATATGATCATTCGAAAGGTGGGGCAGAAATGAAATTTCACATTTTCAATCTTAAAAGCAATTATAATAATTTTAGAAACCAAATAAAAAAAAATTGAATTGAAAAAATGAAAATCATTAAGAAAAACCTATCCACTGCTCAAAAACCCCTTTTGTTGCTATTAAAGTGTATTTGATTGGTTTTATTTTCTATGAAAAATGTCATTTTTCACCCCAAATTCTTACTTTTGCAGTGTTTGACTGACAATTTTTTCCATGAAAAATATTTTTCAACTTTTGGTCATACGATCATATTTATCTCAATAGCGAGAAAAACATTTTCTTTAAGGATGATTTTATTTTTTTAAGCAATTCACTCACCCTTTTTCTCTCTCATATACCTTCTAATAAAAAATAGACAAGTATAGATTGAAAACTAAATCAATCAAACATATTTTAATTATTAATTTTCATACAAATAAGTTATACACAATAGAATTACTTAAAATATATTTTTATTTCCATGCAAATTTCATGTTCGTAAACAAATGCACAATTAGTGGTTTTAGGTGAGGTTTTGGAGTCAGAGTGGACAAAAATGATGAAGAAATCCGCCCCCCGCCCTCCCTCTCATTTTTATTTGATTATTTTAATTGTTTTAAGTGAAAAAATATAGAATGATCATTTTTTCCCTTTCTAGAAATTGATCGAACGATTGACTTTTGGTCAACTAATGATCATTTTGATAAAAATTGTCTAGAGGTCCTTCAAGTGCACAATTTCTGTAAGATTTGGGATGTAGGTGCTAAGATTAGAAGGTTTGATACATGATGACACATTTTTGAAATGTTTGGAGCCTCTATTGCAAACTTTCCCAAAAATGTGAGAATAGTTACTCATACACATAATACAGGAATAAAATAAACAAAATCTAAAAATCTATTATGGCAGTTAAGTGACAAAAAAAAACGCTTTTTTATGTTACACAGTTAGAGTCAAATAAAAAGAATTAAAAAAAAATCAATCATATTTTTAAGATAATTATTTTTTTTTCCAATTTTGAAATTAATGATGGAAACATTAAGTTATAAAAGAATAAATTAGTATTTTTCAGAGTAAAATATGAAGCATGATTAACATTAAAAAAAAAGAAAAAGAAAAAGGAATAAATTATATGTGATGCATAATAAATTTGTCGAATAAAAAATGCTCGGTTTATTTTGTCCTTACTCGTTTTGGGCATTACATATTAGAGGTTATCTTTATCTTGTTGTCAGTCATTTTTGACATAATATATTTATAAAGTTCTTCATCTACTATGGAATAAAAAATTATTAAATATGTCCGCTTTATCTTGTTATTAGTTGCTTTTGGCATAACATATTAAAAAGGAGGATTTTGTCGTTCGTACATGGGGGTAGGTAACCCGGAGTTATTGGGCGTGGGACCCGACCCCCCTCCCCCATGTGAGGTACGGGTAACCCAGAGTGTAAAGTTTCGAATACCTGTAACAAAATCCGACTGTTAGTTTGAATTGCCAATGACATTGATTATACCATCTTTAAAAAAAATGATTTTATTGTCGATTTCGTTATTAAGTTAAATATCAACTTGCCGTTCAGATGCTATATTAGTTTACATCAATATGTCCTTTATTCAAAACTATCCATCTACTTTTGGTGACAGTGTACGTGCAAAATTTAATGGTGAACATTTAAATGTGTTACAAGATTTTAACAATTTAAAGATGATTACAAAAAGATTGAAAATGACAGGTTCGAATAATAGCTAGAAAAATAATAAATATGTTTTCTTTTAAGTGTTGTCATTGTTTTTGATTGAACATATTAAAGAGGTTCATTATGTAGTGATAATTGTTTTTAGAATGTATGCTTTTAATGACAGCCAATTGGAGAAAATATTATAGTGTGAGGACAATCAACAATGTTTCAAATTATTGATGAAATATTAGAGACGTGGAGACAAACTTGTTCTGGTTTTAAATTAGTTGGTAAGGAAAAAAGAAATCCGGTTAAAAAAAAAAATGTAAGCTTCTTTGGTAGAGCTTTTAAGCAAGTTAAAATCAATTTTTTTTATCGTTATTTTACTATTTCAGCCGTCATTTTTTAATTGTTCTATCACAGGTAGGACTTACTTTACCTCTAACGATCAAAAAAATAATTATCAAAATTCCTACCAAACAAGCATTAAACATTCTAAATGGAAGAAATCATTAAAAACATTTGAATAAAAATTATATAAACATATAATAATTTCCTCCTTAGGTGATAAGTTTATTATATTTTTTAAATAAAAATTAAAATAGATTATGTCTTCCACAGCCCTTTAGGCCCTGTTTGGGAGAGATTTTGAGAATTGATTTTTTGACCATTAGAAGAAAAGTGGTGTCCATCTGTGAGAGAAGAAATCAAAAATTATGGTTGAAATAGTGAAATAACGGTCAAAAAATTAATTTTTTGAACAAAAATCTCTCCCAAACAGGCTGTTAAATAATTACCTGAAAATCTTGAAAGCAATATCAGTTTTTAATAACTTTTATTGTTTGTTATTGGAACATGTTTGGTAGATATTTTAATCCAATTAACATTGATTTTTTGACCGTTATTTCACTATTTCAACCGTCATTTTTGAATCATTCTCTCACAAGTAGGACTCACTTTATCTTTAACGATCAAAAAATCAATTAACAAAATCTCAACCAAATAAGCACTAGATAAAACAGAGAATTCAAGGATATAATTTATGAAATATTTATCATATATTTTTAATTTGAACCCAATGAAACTTGTACACCAAATTTTATAATTGATTCGTAAGTCGAGGTGCTACTAATTTAAAATGTCCAAGCAAAAAGAGAGGAGTCGGAAAACTCGAGCGACTCTCGTGCTCGTTCCCCTCCTATATTTTAATACAAGGGAAAAAAATTCTTGGGTTGAAGTCATAAATAAAGGCATTTTGGATCCAAGAGCACGAGACGAATAAAAAGCAATATTGCCAGTAGTAGAAATTACAGAGACACAAGCACTTTAATTTCAGAGTGCAAAAATCAGGTGAAATTTTTTTTTAATCAAAATGCAAGTATTAAGTAATACCCAAACAAACCCTAAATCAGTTTTCTCCCAAACACTCGTCTCTCTCTTCCTTTCCTTCTCCTTCTTCCTCTCCTTATTTCTTTCCTATCTCTATCTTGATCTAATCCTCCCCACACTCTTCCGGCGTCGCACCCACCATCACCCGGCGTCGCACCACCATCTTCTCAACCTTTCACTCCCCTTATTTCGGCGGCTTCAAATAACAACACCACCAGTAGGCAACGATGCTTACTGCTCGAAGCGGCGAAGCAGTAGCACCGCCACGAAAAATTGGCTACACACGATAGTGCCTTGCTGCAGACAGCGTTGCTACGCGCAGTGAGATGGTGCTACTACACAGTGAGGCCTCGATTTTTTTTTAGAGTTTTTTTTAATCGATCTACTGTGGGAGGTTTTTTGTTGATGAATTTTCAATTAAATTTACTTCAATGGCTTTTTGGTAGCTGTGGTGGTGGTGGTTAAAGTTGGCTAGGCTTTTGGTGGTGATGCAGGTCACGATAATGTGGTGGTGCTGGTAGATCTAGCCGTTTGGGGTTTTGTTGAATTTGGCCGGTGGCAGGAGGCGGTGAAGGTTGTGTGTTTGTGTCGTTTTTGTTGGTGGTGGTGGTTGTGGGGATTGTATGGTAGAGGCGGGGTGAGATAATGTTTGTGACCGACTATTTGGTTGATCTGTGATCACGTATTGGTGGTGATCGAATCCAGGATGGAATGTTTGATGTATGTGACCAAACTATTTGGTTGTGTTTTGCTGGTGGTAGTAGTGTTGACTTTGGCGGTGAGGTTAGGTGACGATTGTGGTGCCAATTTTGGGCTACAGCGACGGTTGTGTGGTGGTAAATTGTGACCAAGATTGGTGTTGGATCAGCACGGTGGTGGGGATGTTTGGTGCGTGTGACCAACTATTTGGATTAATTATTAATCTGTGATCAATAAATTTGAAAATATTTGACCCATAAATAAATCGTGACCAGTAATTTGAATTATCTATGACCTGTAAAAAATTTTATTTGTGATCACGAAATAATCCGTGATCAATTAATTTGATGATATGTGATCTATAATTATGAATCTGTGACCATTTATCGTATAACTGTGATTTTGTTATTTTTATTTACTAAATATTTTTAATTGATTAAATATATACCTGAATTTTGAATTTTCAAACTATTTACCTGATTTTTGAATTGGTGTAAATAATACACCTTAATTATGAATTTTTCCCTTGCCAGTATTTATCGTTCAATTTGGTATGCATCGAAAATTAAATAGGCAAAACCAGTAAAGGCCTCGTTGATACGCCGTATGAGATAACATTGTACAATACAATGAACAGAAATTTAACTCTTGCATTTCAATTCAGAAACCCTATTTGATTCTCATTTCTTATAACTATTTTTTCCTCAAAACTCAACCACATATTTTACCAACTTTTATAAAAACCGACAAAATCTACTTTTCATCCAAACCCAGCAAGGGCTCAATATGCCGAGGACAGGAGAGAGAGAGAGAGAGAGAGGAGTCAAATAAAATCAAAGAATAAATATAACAAGCAAATGAACATTTGAAGTGTAGTCGTTTCAAAATAGCTTTCAAAATGGGGGGCAAAACAAGACCCCTTTCCATTCTTCTATATGTTGATAAAGAGGGTGGCGGGGAATGAGGGATTTTAAGAGGGATAAACTGTAATCCCTACCACTAAATGCCGAGGGAAGGTGGGTTACACATATATACTTTAGACTATCTACGAGGAACCCGTTCCCAGTAACTCGGATGCTATATAATTCGCAATGCAGCGGTATGGAAGCTTCCTACAGCTGCCTCAACAAATTAACCTCAAACGAAATTTACTCATCTGTCATGCTTATGCTTCAACTTGATGGCAGCAACAAGACCGTAAACTTCAAAACATAGGATGATATATGTGCTACTATTTTAATCATCGGGATCCATTTCCTCATCCTGCTCCATGGATGGGATTGTGTCACCTTCTCCACTACCATCTGATTCGTCCTGTCCCAGATCGATTTCATCTTCTTGTGTTTCAGTCTCATCATCAGTGCTCTCTTGTGTTCCAACTGTTTTTGTTGCTTGTACCATCCATTTAGGGCACTCACTCCGTCCTCCAAAGAGAACGTGGAGATTACTGCTCTTGCCGGGATGTAGATTCTCAGCAGTCTTGACAGTCATACACGAGCATTCCGGGATCGGGTGGGAAAGGAAAGACTTTGATCTTGATAGTTGAAATTCCTGCATAATGCCATCTTCTGTTGTGCTTCGGTTGAGGTGCTCCCGTACAGAGAGAGTCCAGTTGCGCAAGGGATGGTACAGATGATCGGTGGTACTATTTAAGAGATCAGCAAGATATCTCCTGCTTAGATGAAAACACCCCAAAACATTAGAAGACGGGAAGATGAAAGATTTAAAGTCATTTATGGAAAAACAATCACGTGAAGTTATGCCTCATTCCCAACAAATTTAAGGTTGACTACACGAATCTTTGCATACCTCCATTTGATCCAGCTCTACATCTACTAAAAGCTGCTGTACATTCAAATCTTTCAAACATGTCAAACTATTATTATTTGTTTTGTACCTTAAGCTATATAATAATCCATGATTCATGCAAGTTATTACAAGTTTTTCCTCCATTGCCTCCATGTTACCAAACACCTATCTTAACATGTTTGCATCTCATGCATTCATCTTATGGGCATTTGTGCTTTAATAGCCCACTCTCAGTACCACAAAAGTATAATTGGTCCAATAACACCATTATTTAGAGCACCTTTTGATTTGGTGGGTATCTTCCAATCATGTAAATTTCATTAATAATTCTCTGTTTCATTCGAGCACCCTAATTTCATTCCCTTTCAACCTTTTTTCTTATTGACAACCACTAATGACTATAGGAAATTATTCTTTGAATTAAATACTCCTTTATTGGGACTCCACTAATCATCAACAGTCAAAATATAACACACTGAAAAAAAAAAAAAAAAGGAGGAACACATTTCATTCTATGAAACTTCATTCCTAGTGCATCACTAAAGCATATGGATAAGAACCCGGCATCTTGGCTGACAATAAAAAATATAAACCATAAAACATAAATTATTTCAAATTCAAAGAAACAACTTTATTCCTTGTCAAAACATCAAACTTTCTGTAGTAAATCAAACAATCAGGTTATTTTATAAATAGAAAAAGAACAAGAAATACTTGGATGACAACCAAGGCAACTAAGAATGAATACAATACGCACAAAGAGAGGAAAAAGGAGAACTTTTTAGAATATAACCTTTTACCTGTTTGGTCGATATGTTCTAGCAGATGCCATCTCATATAGCCGATTCCCCATGACCAAGCTTGAAAAATCTGGCCATCCACTACCATCATTATCAAAACCAGGAAAGAAAGCATCAGCTTCAACAGAGACAATATAGTCAAGAGCATCCCAGAGCAAACGATGTGCTTGCTCCCTTAAATCAATTGGTGAAGGATCCGGCTCTGAATCCTTTTCGGTAATCCATCCATACCAACCTTCTTTCTCATGTTGATAAATAGGTCGGCCAGGAGGTGGAGGCAGAGGCCTGGGGCGAGGGCCAGCCTTGTCCCACTCTTCTTTTAGTTGCTTTGGGGTTTTGACAGCTGTAAATTGGAAAGAATCCAGAGGAAGTGGAGTTTCTGGGCCAATCACATTGACCAGCTCTTGTTTACTGCACAAAGAAGTACGATCCACTAAGTTGGTGTACATGGCACGTAAAGGAATCAGAACTCTTTGACCCCCAAAGGTTTCAGAACCTGCCAAGTATATTCTTGTTCTAGGAGGGTAACCCATAGCTCGAAGCAGAAGTCCAACCTACAGAGTTCAACCAATAAACGATAAGCTTACAGCAAACAAGTGAAATTAGATAGCATCTGACCTTTGGTTAAAATATTGAGCAAGCACTACTGTTGTAAATAGAAACAACAACATTTGAAACCATCTACCATTTGCCTCAGTTTCTTTACATCTAGCTATAATTTCCTATTATTTTCAGCAAAAGAGTAGAAACAAGAATTATGATAGTTGACTGGGCAATGTCATTTATAAGGGGAAATTTTATAAGCAATGCATAGGACTTTATGCAGCCTGGAGAAGGATATATTAGCAAGACAAAAGTTTAATTTTCTTCATTATAAAAGAGAACTTACACCTTGGATCCATTTATGTTCTGTTTGAATTCAATTTTGAAAAATAGTTTTTTAATTTACATAAACAAGGTAATGAGTTGACTGAAAACATCAATTCAATCGAATCATTTTCCATAAGCAAATCATCTAGCATGTTTATAAAACATGGTGAACATGGATGTAGACCATTCATCGAATCTTTTATTTTTTTGATAGGTATTTTGGAACATTCATCGAATCTTTTATGGAAATAACAACTTTTAAGCAGTTTTAAACATCACCAATTTAACCCCAAAACAAGAAAGGGCCAGCACCTGATACTGAAAATACTTGCAATACATACATACATACATATATATGAACCAAAAAAAAGGCGGAAGAAATTAAACCAGCATGGGCGACCATTTGTAGACTTATATTTGAATGAAAAACATTGTCTCACAATACCTCTTCCGGCATAAGTGGACACGAACCATTTCCTTTTCGAGTGCGCGAATCCACATGGAGTTCTTCATTGATGATTCCTTGTTTAATTAGCCGTGCTCGCCGATATTGTATAAGTTCTGTGTGCACATCCTACAAAAATACAAGTAGGGGAGAGTGTTACAAGTCTCGGTAAACAATATGCAATTTGATATCAGACTAGGAGGGTGTTTTGGTGGGGACTAAAATTAGATTTTTTAGTAGATTTTGATATAAGTTTTTGAAATGTGTAGTTGAAAAATTGTGGGATCCATGAAAGATGTGGTTTATATTGATTGTTTGACTTTAACTTATATTAAAATCAGATTTTAATCCAAACCAAACAGACTCTAGAATGTATTTGCTAGACCAGTAATCTCAGCCTTCTGACAAAAAATAGGAAAAAGGGCGAGCTGTAACTTCAGCTAGAAAGCTCGTTATATGCAAATCTAATTGCTCTCAGTGATTTCTCTCTTCACTACTCCCATTATATGCTACAAAGGGCAAGGTTTCTCATTTGAAACCAAGCAACCATGGAATTTTACTCTACCTCATTCTTTATCAACTACGTATGACATAAATTGACATGTCACACGTCAAGAAATACATTAAATAAATTAAGTTACAGAAGATGAGAGAATTTTAGAATTAAATACCCTTATAAAAGTCATAAAATAATACAAAATGGTAACGAGATTAACTTCTGACCAACTTGTACATGGACAATAGAAGCATGCTGATTTTAGTAAATCGCACAAAAAGGAGATAAGCATAATGCAAGATACAACCCAATTAAACATTAAATTATTCACAGCATTATCTTCTGCTTGTGCCATTCCAACATCATGTCACAATCAATATTTCTGATACGATGGCCTTTATTTGCCCCAACATTTCATTCACACATCAAAGAACATGGGCATAATAACAAAAATCAGAATGAGATGCATCAGAAACCTGAAAAAGTTCAGCACATCCATGATATGCAAGGGTATCCCTCTTCAGCCCTGGATGATAAGCAAGATAAGGTTGACCGGAACCTCTTAACCTGAGCAATGAGGGGGAAAGAAGGTTTTCTTCATAGCTGATCTTACCAAAGAGCCACTCTTAAAAGCGAATAGAATCAATAAAGAACGAGTAATGCATTTTTTTCACGAACGTTCAATGAGCAGGAAAAAATTCTGCAGACTCATAATTTTTATAGCATATTTTACGTATAGAGCTTATTTCTTTTCAGTGTCAGGATATCGGTTAAGCAAAAAGAGAGTTCCTCCAAGGATTTAAGAAATAATATTGAGTTTCTTTCATTTTACGCTATTAAAAATTTCCAGCACCAGAGCTCCCTCAATGAACTTTTGTAAGATATGGTCAGCAAATGCATTTGAAATTAGAACAGGGGAAAAGGTTAATGGAAACTAGATTGTTTGTAAAGTTTATATAATTAATACAACAAAAGACATATAAGCCTTATTCCCTATAAATTAAGGGCCGCCTACAAAAGTTCTTTTTGCCATTGATCCAATTAATAATCTTAAGGCATTCAAAAGATATATATAGGAATACACTTCTTCGAATCATTGCTAGATCTACTAACAGATCCTTAACAACAATAATGGGCAATCTTAGCTTTGTTACTGCTCCCACTTCTGACTTGCTAACTGAAGTCGTGTCGTCTTTATAATTAGGAGTGCCTTTAGGTCAACGCAAAATATGGTGTACCACCTAAATCGCCCTTTCCTTAAATTAAAGGCAATTGCATCATAGCCACTTTTTTATCTTATATTCTCATTTCTTATTGAGTGATACTATTTAGCACCACCGATACTAAACATCAATCTAGATGGCAACTAAATGAACATATCAAGTATAGCCACCTATACTGATGCTCAATAGCATTATTATTTCTTACTTGATATATTCTAGTATGACCACACATCCATCAAGAATTTTCATTTTCGCTACATTGGTTTTATGGAAATCTTGTCCTTTATCATCCCAATAATCAAAATATGAATTATTAAAAGATTCCTCTAACCATCAAGATTTGTGAGCAGGTAAGTCGCCTTTCTTAGCATGATCAAATTAGTTGCAGAAGATAATTCTCTCTCACAAACAAAGCTATGAAACTAGGATGTGCTCGCTTAGATGCATATGTTTTCGATAGAGACCTTAATACCTTTGTGATTGGTAATGCATCGAATGATTTTTGCATTAAATTCAGCTCATACAAACTCCAGAGATCAAAATTGATGAGTACCATGAAGGTGATAAAAAAAATCCAAGAAAAAAAAGGCCTTAATTTAGTATAAGACACAACAAGGATGCATTGTGTTTAGATTATGTGATTATGACTATTTAAATAACTGATTCTGATGATCAAAAGAATCAATTATTTTGATCTTCGCTGGCAGTGACTCAACAATTGATCCATTTTTGTTGCACTGATAAACAATGGTGTGAGATTCCTAAAGTGATTGAATCAGCTAAAATAATATAAACCATAATGTCAATTATGGTCTACTTAGTAATTTGGTCAAGTGCATTATTGCATCATAATAATATACATCTTATTAAAACAAAAAGAAAAGAAAGAGAGGCAAGAGAACTTTTCATGCAATTATCATATTCGGTGATGAAATCTGAAGTCCAATAAAGCTCTCAAATGAGGTGTTTTTCCTCCATTAGCAACCCACAATAAGATACGCTTATATATTAAGTGTACTAGCATATACTAATGAGATAAATTACTGAATTAAGTTCCTCTTCAAACATAGCCCAAATTTTCATGTAACAAAAAAATCCACTTATTCTGAAAACCAAATAAGCCCAATGAAGAATATTTCAAAATCTTTCCAGTTTGACTAATATACACTGGGGTCTTGTCTTCTCCATCTCGTCTCAAAAGAAATTTAGAAAGACACTGTCAATTAGATATGGAAATGTTTCATGGGAAAAGTATACATCTGAAGCCCCACTTTAGCCTTTAAATTTGCAGAACCATGATGGCTAATGTAGGAACATTTGGACAACAATAATGGTGAGCTATGGGTCAATATATAATCAAGTTTCATGGATGTGTAACTTCAATGGTGGGTCTGATAATTGGAATATTAATTGCCAACATGGCATTCAGAAAAAGAAGTGGAGGTCATGGACTCATTGCCATAGTTCTTGAAATAAATTAGAAAGCAAATATATAGAAGTTAAATTAATACTTTTATTCAAAATTAAAATTTATCTTCATCATTGAATAGCAGGTTAAAGTTGTTAAAATGGCATCATTCGGCTGTCACTTAGCAGAATTAGCAAAAAATTAAATTTTACTCAGTTCAACAACGTAAAGTCTAAGAATTCAGTGTTTCAGTTTTCAATATTACCAAACATGACATTATCTCAAGATCCATGAAAAAAATAAATCCACCACCAGAGTTTCTATAGTTAATACCCTGTGCATAACTCATCACACACCAGAGAACGACAATTACACACCACAAAAACAAATAAAGTAAGGAAAAAAGTTCTCACCTTTCCACCATCAGATGCCCAAGCGCAACAATCTCCGGGCGGAAACGAAGTGCATGAAATGCAACCCGACATCTGAGCCTCTGATACTCAACCAAGCTAGAGGGGAGGACAGACTAGGAGAAAAAAGAACAGAGTGAAAAGCTCATATCACCCTGGTACCAAATAAATAATCAATGCAAGCATCAATTGCAGGGAAAAAAAAAATATAGGAATCCCCAGCTTGGTGCTGTTCCCATAAGGAGCAAAAGAAGCATATTCAAAGAGACGTGGTTGGAAAACTAATCCGTAAATGATATACACTCAGAGAAAGCAATCTTGACAAAGCATCTTGTTGTCTGGCTACATAATCACAAATTTAAGTTTTCATATAGGAGCTCAAGGTCATATCTCCTTTACTTTAGTAGTCCTGTCTTCGCAAAAGAAATGAATAATACACGTGCTTATAATTAACTTGGAAAACAAACTATAAAATCTTCTCCATAAGTACAGGCATAAAATCCAAATCCTTCATAGTCCATACGTGATACGACAATGAAAGAAGCGTCCATAAGACAAAACTAATTATTCATTGCTCTTATTATGTTCATTTTGGTCATATTGGTGTTGACCAAACACATTGAAACCAAATTTTTATTCTTTCAAAGTTCGGGGAAGGACATCGTTTTGGTAATATAAAGGGAGTGCTAAATTCATTGAATTAATAGATAAGGAAAAACTAAATTACTCAATGCCACATGTAACCATTATGCCAACAGCACGTGCAGTCAGCTTAATCTTTTCTAACTTCGAAATGGCTACAGAAGTACCAAAAATCTCTAACCAAAAATGAAAACACATCTAACCTAAATTTGGGGAAGAGGAGCAGGGAATTGGGCACCAAATTAACCCTCTCTTTCAATTCGCCCAGACCCATTTCCCAGTTCCTCTCCTAGTCTGTCTGCCTCTCTTTCTCTAGAGGGTGTGGTTGTGAGTGAAATTAGTGGATTAGCCCTATGCCGAAGACATGACTAGGTTGCAGTCCATATGAAAGTATAAATATGAACAGCAGCAGTAGCAGTAGAAGCAGCAGCAAAAACAAGAATGAGAAGAGAGAAAGATAAGGGATAAGTAAAAATTGCAGTATGTTCAGCTCATGCGACAATATATACACATGCCTCGTGCTTAACATACAATTAAATGATCCAGGTACATGATGAATATTAATATGTGAACTCCCATTTGTAGATATGACCTATGCATTCTGTAACCTTTTTTTCCACAATGTCTTGCTTGCTGCTTCCGCTCAAGACATACATGTACATGGATTGATAGCAGAACACGTGCAAATACCATATAGCTACACAGACACACAGAGAGTTTGCAAACTCAGATCACACACAAAACCAGTGTGTGTAAGAGAGAGGGAGATAGGTACTGGATCTGAGCAGAAACCCCATTTATATTTAATCTGTGTCAATCTCATTGGCTGTCGCTTATTTTCATTTCAAAAAGCTTATTTGAACAGGCTGATTCCTCGCTGCCTTTTCCTCTGCATCAGAGTTGGAAATATTTTCTTTTCTTTGTGATTTTAAGGGGTCTTCTTACCCATCACTCGTGACAGGGACAACATTTTATTTTGTGTCTCTTTAATAATCATACGAGGATTTAGCATACCCTTACATAGGATACCAAAGAAATGTAATCATACAAGAAATGTAAGTTTCCCGCTTTTCCCCCTTTTTTTTAACATTATCCATCTTTACAACTTTTTCGAAAACAAACATATGAAAAAAGTGAAAAATGCCTTGGGCAACCTCAAATTAAAATGATTTCCAAAAGCAGAAGTTTCAAACAATATCAGTCAATGTAGCCCCTATCCTGTTGAGGAAGTGAGACAAAAAAAAGAAGAAGCCAAAAGTGGTCCAAATTTGTTTGAATCATGTTTTAAAACATTCTGTGCAGATTAAGAGGATGTTATTTCCAACTGAAACCTGATTTCACTTTTTCAAGATAACAAAAAATAAAGATCGAAATTTATACTAAAAGAAGCCACATCCTCCCGTAAAAACACTGTGCCGGAAGCTTCTGTTCCTCATTAGAACTCCACCTTAGTTTTTTTTTTTTTTTTTTTTTAAAATTCATTTGGATTCAGTACAGGACCGAATAATAGTTATTTCTGGATTTTCTTGCTAATTCCTTACCTAAAAAGAATTGATCCAGTTTTCACTTTTCAAAAACATAGGCTCACTACAAAGATCCACATTAAATCAGTTTTTCTCTTTGCTTGTTTCTTCTCCTGCTTTGGTGGCTTTTAAGGACTGGTATCTAATCCTCATGCTACCAAGCATCTAGTAACTCTACAGTCTCTTCAAACTCCAAATTACTACACTTTTGTTTAAACTAATCACAGTTGAAAAAAAATAAAAAATTGACAATAAAGAAGATACAATGCCTACCTGTAAGCAGCCTCCATCAGAAAGTACTAAGCCAATGACGTTTGCTTTCTTTAATTTTGGTAAGACTTCCTGAACATAAAAACTTGGAGAAGCAGAACTTTTAGGCTTGAAAATGGGATATTGTTTCCGTTTCCTGGCCTCCTTCAGGTTGGAAGGTAAGCTTTTTACAATGATGACATCACTTGCTAGAGCTGATATGAATTGCTCTTCATTATAGAGATATGAAAAACTTTTGAACTTGGTACTGCAATGTATTTAATACAATTAGTATTCAGACATGCACACATGATCTAACTGATCTTAGTCAATTCTTAAAAAAACAAAAACCTTATGCCTTTTGATCGAGTGCTTTCTTGAATGTCCGGGATAACAAGGGTAGCATTCAAAAGCCGCGATACAGTGACCAGATCACAGATCTGTTCAATTGGCAACCAGTTAGGACATCAAATTGAAGAAAATGGAAAGACATTTTTAGAAAGAAGCACAGTTTACCGAGGTTCTAATCTTTTCAAAGCCACCAAAAACTTTTGCATATATGAAACCATTGTTCTCCTCATTTGGAACTGAAACAAAAACATGAGTCAAATTCAAACAATGAAGAAGTGTAGTTGAAGTCTAGAGAAAGGCTAATCATAAAGAGGTGTTCAGAAAAAAGGACCTATCTATCAATAAGACTGCAAACTTTAGAGTACCAATATTTCATCTAAGTCTAACCAACGCTTATCCATAAATTATAAATTAAGATGTACAAGGCACATGCAAGAATAGAGAGTTTCAAGTGTCAAAGAATTTAAGTACATCACGTCATCGGATAAGACCTCCTATAGTGTGACTATAGAGGCTAGATAATCTAAAGTCGCCTGCATTGCTATACATACACAAAGAAGGAACAAGTAAACCAATTGATGGCCTAGCAAGTGAGAGAATAGAGACATGCAAGAATAAAGAGTTTCAAGTGTCAAAGAATTTATGTACATCGTGTCATCAGATAAGACTTCCTATAGTGCAACTATAGAGACTAGATTATCTAAGGTCGCCTGCAGTGCTACACATACACACACAGAAGGAACGAGTAAACTAATTTGAAATACCATGGCCTGGCAAGTGAAAGAACAAAGAAGTATGTTCAATATAAAGATCGTGTGAGGTAGAAATGGAAGAGCTACGCATGAAGGTTCTTCATCGATTTAAATTCAAATTAACCCTGGGTATGTTCACATTGAATTAGTACATTGCATGAATTTGATATTCATTATAAGTAACTTACAAGGAGATTATAATGAGGAGTAATGGGTCCTACGAAATGTGTGGATAGTAGTTATGAATACAAGGTTAAGCCCCCGTTTGTTTCCCATTAAAATGAAAAAATGCCCGTTATCCATCACATCAAGCCACCAAATTTGAATTTCAATCTCTTGTGTGGGTTATAATGACTATATTTTTCATTCTCATTTTTGCAAAAATGGGAAACAAATGCCCCCTAAGATTAAAATTTGACTTCAACCGAAAATTATAAGTTACTCATAAGGAAAACCAGTCACATTTGTTCGTAGATAGGACCTCCTATAGTGTGACTATAGAGACTAGATAATCTAAAGTCGCCTGCATTGCTATACATACACAAAGAAGGAACAAGTAAACCAATTGATGGCCTAGCAAGTGAGAGAACAGAGACATGCAAGAATAAAGAGTTTCAAGTGTCAAAGAATTTATGTACATCGTGTCATCAGATAAGACTTTAGTGCAACTATAGAGACTAGATTATCTAAGGTCGCCTGCAGTGCTATACATACACATACAGAAGGAATGAGTAAACTAATTTGAAATACCATGGCCTGGCAAGTGAAAGAACAAAGAAGTAAGTTCAATATAAAGATCGTGTGAGGTAGAAATGGAAGAGCTACGCATGAAGGTTCTTCATCGATTTAAATTCAAATTAACCCTGGGTATGTTCACATTGAATTAGTACATTGCATGCATTTGATATTCATTATAAGTAACTGACAAGAAGATTATAATGAGGAGTAATGGGCCCTACGAAATGTGTGGATAATAAGTGGATAGTAGTTATGAATACAAGGTTAAACCCCCGTTTGTTTCCCATTATTTTCCCATTAAAATGAAAAATGCCCGTTATCCATCACATCAAACCACCAAATTTGAATTTCAATCTCTTGTGTGGGTCATAATGACTATATTTTTCATTCTCATTTTTGCAAAAATGGAAAACAAATGCCCCCTAAGATTAAAATTTGACTTCAACCGAAAATTATAAGTTACTCATAAGGAAAACCAGTCACATTTGTTCGTATTTGGCTATTTTCTTTGTCTTTCACTATGTTACAGGACAATGTATTTGAGATTTTACACTTCAAAAAAATCATTCTGCAAGTATTGAATCTGTTACAGATTAATAAGAGTTAGTTCCTTCTATTTCACAACATATAATTAACATCAAAGTGTTAATGTAACTAATTACTTTAGAATTCTTCTAGAAAACAACAATGCTAGCTATAGAAGTGCATTTGTATTAGATTCATGTCCTACGACTTGACAAAGTTCTACATGGATGTAAAACTATCACGGATTCCTCCTTCACCCAAATGTAGGACTAGCTATGGAAAAGATAGGCTGAGTTCTTAGTAGTATTGAAGTGTAAAAACATAAAAAATATCTAAGGTGTTAATACTATTGCAATGCAGCATTGACAATCAAACAGTGAAGAAGCAAGTTTCAATTGTTCATTAAAAAATACAGATGAAAGATTTCAGTTGATAGCTTCACAACTCTGGTGCACTTCATTCATACAGATTCAAAACAAATGTTTGTCGGAGTTTAAAACAATCCCAGATCCTTATCGTTGTTTGCTTCTCAATCACTTCCTCCTTGTGCTACAACCATATCAGATTCTGCTCACATCCAACATTCCCAAGACCTACTCAGAGATCCAACCCTGCCTACGTCAAATTAGCCTAGGCTCTTTCCATTCCCCATTTGGCCTTGTATTTGATTTATGTCCACAACATCCAGAACAAAAGCATAAAACTTAAACACCTTCATGCTGTATTTTTTTTCTTGCTTCAATTGCCCAAAGATTATTAACATTCTCCTATGCTTTTGCATAAACTTAGCACACTGGAAAATTACAGATTTGATATCAAATTCATATACATTATAGTATTGAACTTGATAGCAGATTATTTGAAAAATAAAAAATGCATGTCAATTTCAAAATATAAATCAACATCAACACTACCCTTTACTTCTCAGAAAGACAGCTCGATAGCACTAAAAACCCTGGAAAGGATTCAAAAATATGAAAACCACAAGAAGGTAATGATAATCATAGTGAACACCAAAGTTTTCGATAATCAAAACACGAGGTGAATATAAGAAACGAATTTGAATAGCTTTCTCTAAACATCTTTTCTTATCCAATAGCACAAAAATAATGTAAGGATTACCTCTAACTAGTTACATTTTTTCTCTCTCTCTTAAATTATCTTATGAATTCTCTAGCAACTTCTGCATTGAATTTCATTTCCACCAAGCATCGCAATCTCTAGAATTTCTATACGCACAATGCAGGTGTTATAAAATCATCATGTGAGATATATGTGTAAATATGAAAAACAAATAACACGGCAAGAATGCATAATGTACACATATATATGGATCGTGTGAATTATATAGACAATAACATGATTTAACTAACTAAAGATACAATTTTCCGTGGCTAATAGTAATCAATGATATTCAATTTGTTAGTAGACGGGGCAGTAATTTCAAGACAGATGAATAGAGACTTGCACACATTACCAGGAAATGAGCTTCTTGGTTTCGCATATGGCTGCAGAGGTTCTAGAGCCTTCACCTTGCCCCACAGCTTCCTAGATCCAGCACCCTTCAGCAATATTCAAACATATTATTCATGCACTGACAAGCTAAATCAAACCTCACACACTGCACAATCTATGCATATAGTTATGTAAGTAAATTTTGAGATGGGAAGCTAACATGCATAATTCTGTTTAGCGCTTTTCTTATACCTTTACGCCAGCACTGTTTGCATGTTGCAAGTCTTCACTGAAAGCCTTGATTGCACTGTACTGTACTAGATCAGCGCTTGACTTGGCAAGAAATAAATGCACCAACAGAGACATAAATGACAACACTAGTCCTCCAAGGGCTGCCCATTTTATTTTCGATTTCATTCTAATATCTCTGTTCCAGAAAAATGCAACTTATCACTTGCTGACCTAAAATATGATCCAATTAGTATCAGCACATAAACTCAAATCCTAAAAAAGAAATACAAAAATGCAACAGAAGAAAGATGCCAATATATCCCTTCAATCACTGTAATTAATTCTAAGCAATGATATACAATAAATGTCAACCAGAATAATTACAACTAATAAAGAAGCACGCAGACGATTGAACACCGCAATGCAAATTGAGTAATAAAGAGAAGATATTATTACCAGTGAATTCGAAACAAGGGGTCAGTGGCATCATAAGTTAGGCCACAAAATTGATGAAAATTACTGTTACATCTAAATAATAAACGCGAAACTGGGCTTCTGTTAAATCACAAAACCCTTTTGTGTTTTTATTGGATCGAGGTCAAAATCTGGCTTTGAGTAAACAAATAAATTACTATTAAAAAATAATAAGATAAATCTATACACGAAGGAGCTGTTGAAGAGTGAGAGCGGGGAACATGGAGAAACTGAATTGAACAGAGGAACGAAAGCCGTAAGGGGAAGAAATCCGAAATGGCAGATTTGAAAGAGAATGAAACTTCAGTCGGTCATGTTCCGATTTTTCCCGTCTAAATTTTCATTTTGGTATCTTAATTTTCATTTATCTCAAATTAAGGATTCGAATTATCGAAAATTGGTCTGTTTATATTCCCATTGGCAAAAGTTTTATGTTCAAGAAGATTTAGCCCCCTTTGAATCCTTTACATTTCATTTTTTCCTCTTGTATTTGCAATCACACAATCTTTCATAGTTTAATATTACACATAACTCGAAAAAAAAATTCTTCTTTTTTAATCACTCGTTTTTCAAAAAAATATTATTCTACCCTTTTTAGTTTTTAATTTCCCAAAAATAGGGGCTAACGAGAGGTTAACAGCGTCTGTAAGTTGGTATCTAACTTTCAAAAGCGAGCAAATTTATTCTCAACCATTCATTATCGTGACACAAGTGATCTCGATGGATGGTAAGAGATTGCTTGTTCAAAGCATATGGTACAATTTGCGAAGGTAAAATAAATAATAATACTAGTAATTTTATAGAGAAAGAAATGAGAGTAAAAAGTCCACCCAATCTTCTCCTTCCACGGTCCTATACCACCTAAGTCCTCTCATCCAGGGGCGGCCCCAACCTTTTTAGATTGTGGAGTCAAAAATTAATGTTTAATTTTTTAAAATAATATAATATTAATAAAAATAAGTTAATAAGCATTTTGATCCCTTGAAAATGTCTTATAATTATATCATTATCAATGATGTCAAATGAATTTTGTTACATGTATAATTTTGTTTACCATGTCATTTTTAAATGTCGAGTTAATGGTGAATAAATCAAATTGGATGTAGAAAATAAACGAATTGAAATAAAATTCACATTTAATTTATGAAGTAAATGAAATTTAATTTTAATGAAAAAATAATTTGAAAGTAATTCAAATTACATTTAATCGTAACGATTTTAGAATTTTTAAAGTCATCTTCCATGTAAAATTTTCTAATAAAATGATGTAAATTATATTGAAAAATTTATAGCACAAAAAGAATAAACGTTAATGAAATATTCAATTTTTTTAAAAGAAAAACAAGTTAAACGTTTTTTTTAGTACATACGTTTGACACATGTTTAACTATTTTCAATATCCGTTTGGACTATTCGATATGACTACGATATAATTTTTGAAACAAGCTTCTAGATGACGCAGACGATTTGTGGATTCAAATAATATATGATCATTGACAAATTTTAAAAATTAGCATATTATCAAATTTTTCGAAATACTAATTTGGAGCGGCTTACTTTGATATATCATTACTTTTTCTACGATTGATCATTTCGCACGCCATTAAGAAGCGAAAAACTAGTTTATGAGCACTTCAAAATAATATTAAGAATGCAATATTTCGATTTCATTTGACATGTATTAAAGCAGATCATAAAACGATTTTTAAAAAAATACAAAATTTTGTGGGGTCAAATGACCCATGTGGGTCCGCTCATGCTCTCATCCTATCTCATGATCCACTGGGTTTAGTCGTGATACAATTTTAGAAAGGTTCGTGTTTATTTGCATTGGGCAAATTAACAATTAAAATTGTTAATTTAAAATTAGGAAACCATACACAACTCTTATGTGTAAGAATTATATTTCAAAATTAACAAACTTATCAATTTATTTCAAAATTCAAATTAATAACATATGATTAATTGAAATTAATTATCCCAACCCAATTAATAGTATTCCCAACCCACCTCACCCACCGAACCTATCCCATGTACGCTACCCACCTACAAACCTTTTTAAAATTGAAAACTTTTTTCAAGCTCATACCCCACCCTAAAACCACGCTCCACACCACGCTCACCCCCCACCCCACGCCACCTCACCCCATAAAAAAATATAAAGTTTTTATTTTGGAGATTACACACCACCCTAACGACAGCTCCCCAGATTTGTCACTAACTATGTTATTTGTGACCAGACTTGTATTATATGTAATTAACTATGATCAAATTTGTCTTCATTGTGGCTGTTGGCGACTGACTAATTTGTGATTATATGTAATTAAGTCATTAACATGATCCCAAAACCACCCCACTAATCCCCTTACTTTATACCATCCCTACTCACGCCATCCTCAGAAAATTTTCAAATCATTGACTTGTGTTATCTGTGATTAATTATGATCAAATTTATCATCAGTGTGACTAACTGTGACGAGATCAATATTAATTGTGACGGTACATAACCAAGTTACAACTAATCACAATTAACACAAAATTGGTCACACCCAATCACATTAAACATATACTTAGTCACATATGATCACCACAAACAAATATATACAAACCGCAGACCAGTACCAAAGTTACAACCACCATCACCTTCAACGCACCATTAGTACCACCTTCAGCTCAAATCCACGATCATACATATTACCTTTCACCGACCCGTGTTATCTATGACTAACTGTGATTAAATTTTTCTTTAGCGTGACGATCTATGATCATGTCAGTCTAATTTGTAACTTATGTAACCAAGTCACACATAGTTACAATTAGCATAAATTTGGTTACAAACAGTTACAATGAAGATAGGCTTGGTTATACCCTATTGCCGTCACCACGACCACTCACAATAATGTCGAGAACCAAACGCGAGTCTAGTTTGTGTCCCCCAGGGCACAT